TCTGCAGACAAACATTTGTTCGCGTGTAATAATTTATTATTTACCGTATTCTGCGTCTGCTCTCCTGTAAAATGCAGTCAGTGCTAAAGTAGGACCCTGAAGGTTGCTTCATTTTCCATATACTCCATATATGTAATCATTAAAATGAATGAAAGTTTTGTCATATTGAGGCGATATAAATCTCACCCGTTATTTAATAGCCGACAAAAGAAGCCATTTTAAAACCTTTCATTTCTAAATTCTCATTTATCCAAAGCCAATGTTTATTAAATAAATCTTAAAATGAGAAATGAATATTTATAAGACGAAATGGAATCAAAAAGGTATTATCATCTATTTATAAGAATCCAAACGACACTTATGATTGACAGAGTACGCGAATTTGGAATAATTTACTTAGCTTTTTAACCAATAGTCAAGTTGCTTCATTTTGGTGCAGAAATTAGTTTTCAAGTTTTATTTAAATTGTTGCTTCTTCTCTTCTGTAATATTGTGTCCTTTCAAGTCGGAAGTATCATTACCTGTCCTTTTTAGCTTTTAATATATTTTGCCTTGTAATTTCTCTTAAACCCTGTTACACCATCCATTTATCCAATCTCATCACTTATGTTATGTGTTGTTTTCTTCTGTCCCTCTTGCCCAGTCTGTCCTGTGAGTACCAGACTTTCCAAGCCTTCTTTCCTCATTGTGTGACCCAGAAATCTCAACTATCACTTCCTGATTTTAAGTTTCCATTTTGTCACCATTTTCTCTAAAACCCCGTCGTCGCTGAATTGTCTGGTCTATATAGTATCCTGAGCATCCTTCTGTAGAACAGCATATACTTTGCTTCAAGCCTTTCCTTCATCATTGAGGAGACTGCCCAGCATTCACTGCTATATAAGAGGACACATCTCACGTAACAATATTGTACTCTTGTTTTTAAAGATTTTTTTCTTTTTTTTTTTTTTTTCGTTTAATAATTTTGCCTTTAATAAATAGAAAAGAGAAATTTTAGTCTAACTAAACTGGACTGATTGATTGACTGATTTTTTTTCTATCATTTGACCCAAGCAAGGCGACAATGCCAGTAGGATGTAATCGGTTACTGGAAGTGAAAGAGATTGAGAAGGAAAAGAGATAAATAAATAATAGAATTCAGGAAGACAGGATATTAAATTCTTGAAGATTGTAGGCGGCAGAAAAGCAAGAAATATGATGATTGCTCCACGGGCAAGAATTGCAAGAAAATAACCAATTGGGGGGGGAGTAAACAGGTCTAGTCTAATAGAGTTGCCACGGTAGAGTAATGCATAGCGGCTAGGATTGAGAAAACAGAGAGCTGAGTTCGAATTCTAGTCGAATCCATAACATTCACTTATGTGCTAAATACGTTTGGGAAAAGTATGAATCCTCTTCTTCTTTCACCTCAGCTATGGGTAAATAGCAGGACAGACCGAGTTCTATAGCCTTGGATGGCAGCTTGTCTACCGCCGAAAGAAACAGCAACCTGAAGGAAAAAAAAATCCGTCTCGTCAGTGATGTATCGAAAGATATATTATCGCATAAGCTTGGATCACGCATGACACATTATTGACTGGTCATCATATGTAAAGAAAATTGCCACTCGTATTGGAGGACAAATATTACATAGCATTCCAGCACTCTTTGTTTCTAATGAAACTTTCCTATGGTTCAAATACTTATAGGAGGCACGGTGGGGTAGTGGATTGCAGCTCAGATTGAGAAATCGGAGAGCCGAGTTCGTATTCCAGTCGAATACATTATATTCATTTACGTGCTAATATCCTTGGGGAAAGGTATGAGTAAATAGCAATACCGTTCGGGCTCTATAGCTTTCGATGATAACTGTTTTACCACAGGCGGGACAAAAATTTGCAACATTAGTCATATATCGAAAGATACATGATGACCTAAGAGTGTTTCACGAATGGCACATTACTGATTGTTATCTCTCAGTTCAATATTGATGGAAGATTTCTTCCTAACCTTTTTTTATAAATTAAAATGTTTTATTAAAAAACATGTTGATGATGCCATTTCTTCCAGTTATATGTCCTATCCATTTTTGTTGTCGGTGTTGTTGGATTCCTTCAAGTCAAGTGGTTTCTGTTATTTGGTGAAGTTCAGTGTGATTCTGTAGCATCGGTCTATGAGATCTGATAAAGGATAAAAGCTTATGACCTAAAATTTTTCATTCGCTTAAAGCCATTTTTTAATCATTGAAAATAGCAACCTGTACCTCTGACGAGATATTTTAAATTTTTCGGATTCTTAGATATATGTTTGGTTCCATAACATCTTGCGGTGTCAGGAGAAACAATGTCTAGAGCAGCTGATTTCTTTCTAACGTATACTAAATTTGTTAGAATTGCTTCATACACTAAGGTATTTGAAACGGACAGAGGTTATTAATTCCATATTCTGAACTTATGAGGGTAAATCTGGTGCATGTACAAATGACATGAAAATCTAAACATTTGGTGAATTTTGTACACAG